CTTTAGGATTGACTGGTTTGATCTCTTTGCAGTCCAAGGCACTCTCAAGAGTCTTCTCCAACAAAGAACATAATGCCAAAATACATGAAAGAAAAGTAGACAAATATGAGAATAGGCAGAAATGTATACATAATTTAATTGTTTCTTATAGAAATAGGTTATGTAGAATTAAATGGCAATCAAACATATGGAGACAAAAGATATTTCTATAAAATAACATCTGGGTTATAGACGATATGTTGGAGGATAATTTCAAAATAATGAAAATTCAAATTTTATGCAAGTGAATTTATGTGGTGACACCCAAGCAGTACTATAAAAGAAAAAAGTCATACTTTAAAGTCATACCGACTCAATGGACATGAGTTTGAGCAAACTCCGGGAGAAAGTGAAGGACAGGGAAGCCCTCTATATTAGGGATAAAGTAGAAATAAATGCCCCCACCCCGCACCCAAGGGGTTTGTGGTTAGAATTTAGAAAAAGAACAAAAGAAAGCAGAATAAGAAAACCAAGCATGTGTTATAAAAGTTTGAAAAATATATGAAACCATTAATTGGTTCTTATAGATTAAACTGGTAAAATGTTGGCTCAATCATAAAAGTATAAATTAGTAAATTTGTAATTTAATAGGAGATGTATAAATCAATTAGATTTGAAAAGAATGATCAGTTTGATTCCATATAGACAAAAGGTATGTGTTTTCCAGTAACCATATGTGGATGTGAGAGTTGACCATAAAGAAAGCTGAGCACCAAAGAATTGATGCTTTCTAATTGCGGTGCTGGAGAAGACTCTTGAGACTCCCTTGGACTGCAAGGAGATCTAACCAGTCAATTCTAAATGAAATCAACCCTGAGCTGAAGCTCCAGTACTTTGGCCACCTGATGCAAAAATCTGATTCATTGGAAAAGACCCTGATGCTGGGAATGATTGAGGGCAGGAGGAAAACGGAGCAACAGAGGATGAGATGGTTGGATAGCCTCACTGACTCAATGGACATGAGTTTGAGCAAACTCTGGGAGAAAGTGAAGGACAGGGAAGCCTGGTGCATTGCAGGCCATGGGGTTGTAAAGAGTCAGACATGACTTAGTGACTGAACAACAAATCAGTTTGATGCTAAAAAATTAATTATTAGTATCAAAATGTCTGGCTCCTTATAAAGGCATAGTATTATAAAACCAACGTTTAAAAAAGAATATCTCCCACCTGGTTATGAGAAATAATCTGTAACTTGTCAAAAATAACCAGTTAAAATGTCATCTGTTTGTAATGGCTATCCTGAGACTTTTTCAGAGTATCAAAGAACAAATCATTTCCATATGATCCCAAAGTATAGAAAATGATAGCAACATACCCAGTTCCTTTGCTGAAGTAAATGTAATTTTCATAAAAAAAAATAAATCAAGATAACATAAAGCTATTTAGGAGATACTTATTTATGAATGTAGATGCAAAAATCCTAATAAAATCTAAAAAATCAAATAGAGAAATATTTAGAAGAGTTGCCAAAATAATTCTGGCATTACAAAGTTGATGTAACAGCTGCAAAATACATTAGATTACTAAGAAACAATAAAAATTATACATCACTGTAATAAACACCAAAAGGGGATTAGAAAAAATTCAACTTCTATTTCTAATTAACACTTAAAAAAACTCTCTAAAAGTATGTTTTAGAGGAAAGTATCATAGGACTCCAGCATATTATAGCTGTATGGGGCCTCACAAGTTATTAAATTCTGGCCCTATGTTTAACAGATGGAAACACATAGGCAGGGAGATAAAGTGACTTATCCAAAGTCTCTGAGCTTGGTAGTCTTGACTGCTAGTCTAGCTTGTTATCATCTGTTACTTTTCTTTTAAATTGAAAAAAGGGTATGTGTGTGTGTTCAGTAGTGGCTCTTTGTGGCTCCATTGACTGTAGCCCCCCAGCCTCCTTTGTCCACGGAATTTTCCAGCAAGAATACTGGAGTGGGTTGCCGTTTCCTCCTCCAGGGAATCTTCTCAATCTGGGGATTGAACTCGTGTTTCTTGTATCTCCTGCACTGGAAGGCGGATTTTTTTTTTACCACTGCACCACCTGGGAAGCCCCAGAAACAAGGGTGCTTCCTGTCATTTCTGCTATTTAGCATCATACAAAGGAGAGATTTTTGGAACTGAATCTTAACCCATTTACCCCTGCTGCTTCATCTCTGGTAGGTAAACAACCAATTGGTATTTCTATTAATAGCTTCTGTTTAAATGCTTCTAATGTTTGGAGAATCTTTTACTTGGGGATGCTGGCCATTTTGGAAGCTCTACTTGAAAGATGGCTCTATGTATTGAACAAAAAATCTGCCTTTCTGGACCATGCTGGAATTGTCAGACCAGTAACTTACAAGGTTAGATGTGTGGAGTTCTACACAAGGCCATCCTTGGAGGTAAGGAAAGAAAACGTGAAAATAATTGTGTATGTTTATGCTTTTATTTTTAAAAGAGAAAATTAGGGACTTTCCTGGTGGTCCAGTGGCTAGGGCTCTGTGCTCCCAGTGTTGGGGGCCTGGGTTCGATCCCTGATCAGGGAACTGGATCCCACATGTAGCAACTAAAAGGGTCCTGCACACCACAAGAAGGACCCACGTGATGCAACTGGGATCCAGCTCAGCCAAATAAATAAATAAATATTAAAAAAGAGAAAATTAGCTTTTGCTAATATTTTAAATATGGCTTGATTTGAGAGCTCTACCTCAGTCTACATAGCATGTGTGCCATTCACCAGGAGTGATGGTGGCAGTGGTGGTGGTGGTGTGGTCACTAAGTCATATCGGACTCTTGTGACCCCATGGACTATAGCCTGCCAGGCTCCTCTGTCCGTGGCATCCTCTAGGTAAGAATACTGGAGTGGGTTGCCATTTCCTTCTCCAAGGAGTGATACTAAAAATAAAAAAATTCTGTGACTGAGGCCCTGACCAATCAGAATAAGTGATGTTCACAAGCCATCTGGTCCAAAACTAGCCCTGCACACTAGATACTTCAGGGGAAACTGGGAGTAACACAGTATAAGTTGATGGTGGTTTGTTTAATTGTAGCATATCTGTGTGTGGTTAAGTGGATTTAAGGCTTATCAAATGGTTCTTGTGAATAACCACAAATTGAAGATAATATGATAAAACAAGCACAAGTGAACAAGTAGAATATGATACAGTTCTTTCCTTTCAAGATAAAGTTACCATTTTAATAATGAGTGAGAAAGTGACTACTTTTCTAAAGGAACTAATTTTAAATGGAGAGAGTGTTTTTAAAACTTATTATTTAGGAGTTCAGTTCAGTTTAGTCTCTCAGTCCTATCCAACTCTTTGTGAACCCATGGACTGCAGCACGCCAGGCTTCCCTGTCCATCACCAACTCCTGCAGCTTGCTCAAACTTATGTCCATCAAGTCGGTGATGCCATCCAACCATCTCATCCTCTGTCGTTCCCTTCTCCTCCTGCCTTCAATCTTTCCCAGTATCAGGGTCTTTTCAAATGAGTCAGCTCTTTGCATCAGGTGGCCAGGCCAAAGTATTGGAGTTTCAGCTTCAGCATCAGTCCTTCCAATGAATATACAGGACTGATTTCCCTTAGGATTGACTGGTTTGATCTCCTTGCAGTCCAAGGACTTGCAGTCCGGTATTCAGGAGTGTTTTCACCATTAAATGATTGCCAAAAAGCAGGTATCTATAAAAATTTACTTTTTTAAAAAACTTATTTTTACATACTTAATAGAAATATTCTGGCCTATAAGAATATTCCAACGAGGATCATTTCCATGGGTTTAGTTTGTTAAAAATACAAAAACACAACTTCCTCAATATTTAAAAACTAACTGACATCTGGGAAAATTGTTATTACCAGATGAGATTGAAAAGTAAGTAAAATTTGGTAAATTTTCCATTCAGATATCCTTTTAATTGAAACCCCATATCTCCTTACTATCCTAATGAATAGGAATTCTTGTTGTTACCACAAAATAAAATGTATTAGTGGAGGAAAAACTAAATTAAAAAAAAATTTCTGCAAGATGAGATGACAATACCTAGAAAACAAGTGAATTGACCAAAAAATACTAGAGTTTAAAAATGAACCTGTCAAAGTTGCTTCCCTAAATACAATTCACTATAGACTGTGAACAACTACATAATGTATGGGTCTGTTGCTGTGACATTCTGGGAAAGTTGGGAGAACAGATCTCTGGTTGTTTAGAAGCTGGAGGTGGGGAGATTTACTGTACAAAGAGGAATGAAGAAACTGTTTTGGGTGAGAGAGTGTCGATTATAGTGATGTGTACCTTGTTAGAAGTCACAAAACTGTACACTTTATAAAGAAAGGTGAATTTTACTGAATGTAAATTATATCTCAATATACTTGACTTTAAAAACTAGATTTGAGAAAAGGTGATTTCATTCCCTAAAGGGGCAAAAATCAATGTATGTATGGGTGTTAATATGAGCGTTATAAAATGAAAATTACAGTCGAGCCATAAAGAAAGATACTTATTAACAGTAATAGCCTCTTCCTGGTTGGAAAGACCGAAAGCCAAGCTGACATTAGGCCCAGTAGGCCAGAGCAGCACATGAGGACACGTGGTCCCTCCTACTGCACAGGTGGGTTCCTTCCCCGGGGGCGGGGGCGGGGAATCAGGCCTGCCTGCCTGGGGGCGGGGCCTCGAGAGCGCTGCGGGGCGGGGCCTTTGAGAGCGGTCTGCGGGTACTCAAGTCCTGGAGTCCGGAGACAGTGGAGACAGTGAGTGTGGTCCCTCTCCTCTCCGCCCGCCCCCAGAGCAGGCCCTGTGACCGAAACTGCTCCCCCCACCTCCCACTGTCGCCACCACCTGGGAGCTCCGGCCCTAAGGCCACCCCTCTGACCCGGGGCTCCCCCGCCTCCACGCTGGGCTCAGCGCTCTGGCTTTTCAGCTGCCTTTTCTCCCTCCCGGCAGTGGCCACCCCGCGCGACGCTGAGATCCGGAAGGACGTGCAGGTGCCAGCAGTAGGGCCTGTGGTTGCCGTGGAGCATCGGCTGAATGGGGACATTAGGCCTTTGGAAGCCCGGCCTGGCCCGCCAGGATTCCTGGGGTGGGGGCAGGGCCACCTCCGGGCTTGGAGCTTTACAGGGAGCAAAGGCCGGCCAGGCTTCAGTGGGTTGGAGTGGGGTTGGTGGGGTGCAGGGGCCTTACCCCAGTGGACACCAGCTCTTCTTTCCCCATCCCTCACCCCACCTTTGGCCCCTGGGTCAGACCTACTATGGGCAGGTGCTGAAGAAGTCAGCAGACCTCCAGACCAATGCCTGTGTCACTGCAGCCAGGCCGGTCCCCCAGCACATCCGGGAAGCCCTGCAGAATGTACACGAGGAAGTATCCTTGAGGTAAAGTGCTCTGTGCTGCTTCCATGAAGACCCCAGACAGCAGTTTTCTCAAAAAATAATGATGACAGGTCACTAGAATTAACCTGCCTTCTCCAGTCCATGGGGCTTGCCTTGCCTGTCATAAAATCGGTATAGCACAGCACTGATTACCTTACTGCTCTGTTGAAGAACATCCAGTGACAACACCCCCTCACCTCCCCGCTCCAACCCCCCCACTCCCCTAATGAACTACCCTTTACTCACAGGATACGTTCATACTCCTTTGACCTGACATTCCAACCTGTTCAATTTGACCCTGCCTTCCTAACCAATCCTGGCTCCCTCTGATGCCCTGGACTACTCTAGGCTAACTTTTCCTTTCCTCTTACCATCAACGCAGCCAAGATGATTTCTGCCTGCCTGGCATGCTGTTATCAATCTGGAATGCTTTCTGAATCCCACCCTTCCAACACCTCACTGATGTCCTACCTACTTTGTGAAGCAGTCTTTGATCCTTGAGCACTGCTTCCCCAAACCACTATAGCACTTACTTCCTGTGCCACTGGTTTTCAATAAATAATAGAAAATGTTTTCTGTGTTTGTGTTTTACCTCCCCCATTAAACACACTTGTCTTACCTTTCTTCTTCAGTAATGCAGGACCTGGACCTGCATTAGATGCTCAGTTAGTGCCTAACAAATATTTTAGTTGATTTATTGTCTTACTACCTGGAACGGTGCCCATCAATTCAATGGTAACAAAGCAGTGATAGTCAGCCTTCATGGAGTTTCCAGTGTATTGGGGGAGACTAAACACTGAAAGAGAAATTGAATGAGTGATGGAAGGAAAGGAGGAAGGGAAGGAGGAAGGATTTATAAGATTTAGTGGTCCCATGTCTTATAGTTTCTAGAGGGAAAATAATAGACACATGTATATATTTTCTATTTTCCAGGTATTATGGCTGTGGTCTGGTCATCCCTGAGTGTCTGGAAAACTGCTGGATTTTGGACCTGGGTAGTGGAAGTGGCAGAGATTGCTATGCTCTTAGTCAGTTGGTTGGTGAGAAGGGACATGTCACTGGAATAGACATGACAGAAGGTCAGGTGAGGCAATTTCAGGGATAAGGAGGAAAAAATTCTGAAAAGCAGTCTTTTAGAGATGAAGTTGTTTCCTTGTTACATGTCAAGGATAATTTAAGAAAGATGCTAAATGCAATGCTCATTTCTGCCATTATTGCTTCCTGACCTGGAAGCTGAGAACTTTTATGTTTAGGGGCCTCTCTGGGAGAAGGGAGTTAGAGGTTTGATCTGATATATGAGTCTCGTGATGTCTGAATGGAGTTTGATCTTTTCCTTCTTTCTGCCATTTATCATGAAAGATTTTCTTGAATGAAGAGTTTATTCAAATAAAACCCATGTATCAAACAGTGGGTTTATGCTCCATTGAATTGTCCTATGCTGTAGTAAATTCTCCTTGCCCAGATGAACCTTGTTTACTTACCTAAAATAGTCTGGGGGGAGTATATTCCATTAGTAATAGGAAATTTTAGGAAAATATTAGTGCATTCAAAAATGTTGATTATCAAATCTATTTTTTTCCTTCCTGTAGGTGGAAGTAGCTAACAAGTACATTGAATATCACATGGAAAAATATGGGTTCCAGGCACCCAATGTGAATTTTATTCATGGCTACATAGAAAAGTTGGAAGAGGCTGGAATCAAGAATGAGAGTTATGATATTGTTATGTAGGTCTGCATCCTGACTATTGTGAATATAGTCCATTTATGATTGAACACACAAACACCATCACTTTTTGTTGAATAGATTCTCATTTAGGGGCTTAAAGTAAACTTAGCCTGGCTTAACAAAAGGATGGAGCTAGCCTGAGGCACTTGTAGTCCACTAGCTACCTAACATACTAGCTTAAGAGAGAACAGATTTTAAGCTGAACTGTGGTTTATGAATGCACCCAAAAGACCAGGAAGACTCCTGAGTCTGCTTGTATAATATACATTGATCTGTTATTTTTAGTATTATTTTCATGGCAAATGATAAGATTCTGTGTTTCTGTTTTTCCTCCGAGTTGTCAAATCATGCCCAAGTGACAGCCTTAATAAAGCTGCCTTTGAGGAACTCAGCCTATTTACATGTTGTGTGAGGAATGCCTTGTGCAATAGGTGTCTGGTCCCAGGTCATTTTGTTGCATGGCCAACATCATCCTCAGAATTTTTTCTGCACACTCAAACTTGCTAATAGTTTATCGAGATTCTAAACATTCTATCTCCCTTATCTTGGGACAAAGTTGAGTGTGGGGAGGAGAGGAGGGAGGTGGGAAAAATGGTGTAGCTTTTAGAAAATGGTGGGACCACCTTTAGGGACTAAAAGGATTTGAGGGTGTCTTAGTAGTCTGAAGCTGTGCTTGACATTCTCTCTGTTCTTTTTTAGATCCAATTGTGTCATTAACCTTGTACCTGATAAACAGCAAGTGCTGCAGGAGGTATATCGAGTGTTAAAGGTGAGGAGAAGAGGGAGACAAGCTGTCTTTGAACATCAGTGAGAACACATGGAATCTGTCCTGTCTTTGTCCCCTTGAGCTGAGAGCTCCAACTCTTAATTTATCCATTAAATTAGAAAGAGTGGCAGAAAGAGGGGGTGACTGGAATACCTGAGATATGAATTTGTTTTCCTCTCAGGTTGCAAAAGGTGATAAATCTGAGAGTCACGATTGTGATTGAATATGTTAAAATTTGCTGTTTTGACTGTTTTTTGTCCTGCTTGCTGCTGTAGAGGAGCCTAGAAAAGCATTTGCAGAGCTGCGGGGACCTTGGGACTAACTCCTAAGGTTATTTTGAATATACTCTCCTAGCATGGACAGTGTTTCTCGGGGCTCCTTATTTTGTACCCATCAGTATTCCATTATCTTTGGGAAGTTACAGAAGGTGAATCTTTTACGCTACTCTCTTAAAGGAAAACTTGCAGGTGCTCCACACCCTCTGTATGTATCATGAGATGTATTTCTTCCTGATAGAAGATTCTGAGATTCTTGGTTTATAAGACTGTTGCAGAGATCAAGGCTTTCGTCTGCTATTCAGGAGACCCAGGTTTAAACGATCCCTGGATTGGGAAGATCCCCTGGAGTAGGGAATGGCTACCCAATTCAGTATTCCTGCCTGGAGAATTCTGTGGATGGAGGAGTCTGGCAGGCAATAGTCCATGGGGTAGAAAAGAGTTGGACACTATGCAGAGATGATTTAACGCTGTCTTAATTAGTATGCTATTATATAGACCAGCTCATTACTTTCACCAGGGTGTACTTGTAGACGGTAGAGACATTACTGTAGAATCTAGACCTCCGTGCTCTTGAAATTAGCTAAATAAAATCTTAAAATTCCTGATAACTCATATGCCTGCGATTTTAAGGACATTTTTAAAAGATAATGTGTTATTACAAAAATAAATAACAATGTTACAAAAGTTATATAATTTTTAAGGAAGGAGACTTTATGAGTACTGTTTACTCCTGTTTTGTGAAAGCCTAGTCTGCTTTGCTTCAGATTGATTAAGTTTGTAAAGTTATTTTATTAGCTATTGGCTGAGGCACTGAAAAAAAATCTTGGCAGTTGGCTATTGATTGTAACTAGAGAAAGAGCAAGTAGTTATTTGTTCAAAAAGGGTCAACTCAGGAACTTCTGTTGTTTTTTTAAAACTTGATTTTATCCCCTCATCCCTTTCTTTGCTATCAGGGACTAATGTAATCTTTAACCTTGTTTGGATTAATTCTGCTGTTTCAGCATGGTGGGGAGCTATATTTCAGTGACGTCTATGCTAGCCTTGAATTGCCAGAAGAAATCAGGACACACAAAGTTTTATGGGGTAGGTGTTTGTGTTTTGTTTTGTTTTGAGGCAGATACTCGTTCAAGTACAGCATTCCATCCTGCTGATGTCCAGGGTGAGGCTTTGTGATATGGGAACACATGGCGTTAGGTAGCAGGCTTAGGTTCTTCTCCTCTGACACTCAACTCTGATATGACCTTGGACAATTTAATTAATCTCTTTGAGTCATGACTTCCGAACTATAAAATGTAGGTAATAATTCAGTCTGCCTCATAGGGCTGTCATGAAGATTGAATGGGATAATGTGTGTGAAAAATTCTCTTAAAAGCTCTAGTGTGGAAATGACGCCAGTTGCTCCAGAGTTGATGTGTCCTTAATTCCCTGTATTTTCATCACTATTCTGTTGATCCCTTAACTGTCATTTTCATGGAGTTTCTGGACATTGAGGAGATAAATGGCATGTGTTTGGTCAGTCTGGCTATAAAATCAAAAGTTCTTTTAAAATAAATTATGTTAAAAAATAAATTATGTTAACTTTTTTCTTATTATACAGTAAGAAATAGATATTGTTGGAACTTCCCTGGAAATCCAGTGGTTAAGACTCTGTGCTGTCAATGCAATGGGTGCAGTGTTGATCCCCCATCAGGGAACTGAGATCCCAAAAGCTGAGTGGCGTGGCCAAAAAAAAAAAAAGTTGGAAAATACAAAAAGAAAAAATTACTTCTAAACATGTAACTCTTTTAATAGTTTAGTATATACACTTTTAGATTTGCTTTTTTTCCTGTGGGTGAGTATAAAAATATTGGGAATATGCTGCATATAGACTTTAGTATTCCAATTTTGTTTAGCATATTTCCTAAGCCTAAAATTTTTAAAAATAATTAAAAGTGTATTATACAATTATATTGTACAGCTGTACCATATTTTATTTGGCCATTTCTTTATTGGTAATGATTTAGGTTGTTTCTAATTTGTTGATGTAATGAACTTAAAAACTGTAAATGCCTTATGAACATTAATAGTAATTACTGTTCTAGTAGCAGATTGTTATAAGGTTAATCTGGAACTAAGAGGCAGTTTTGTAATTTTTCTTGTATTTTTTTTACTCACATAACATAGTGCTTTTCAAAATGTGACCTAATATATGCATGAATATTATGATTGATAGAACCATTAGCTAGCATATCCAGCCTTAACCTTGACTTTCTAGACCTTGGGGGACACTCAGGTCCTTCTATTTTTCTAGGACATGTGTTCTAAGTAATACCATAGCCTAATCAATTATACCAGAAGAATAACTCCCTAATATCTAGTTGTATTGGTTGATCTGTGATTTTTCTCTTTTTAGGTGAGTGCCTGGGTGGTGCTTTGTACTGGAAGGACCTTTTTATCCTTGCCAAAAAAATTGGGTTCTGCCCTCCACGTTTGGTCACTGCCAATTTCATTACAGTTCAAAACAAGGACCTAGAAAACGTAATCGGTAAGAAACAGTAACAGGGACTGTTACAACGCCACCCTGAATGGTTCAGATTTGGTGATTAGCAAGTATCTCCTCAGTGAGTCTCACTGAAGGAGACTGTGTCATCTGGAAATCTCCATCTTATCTCCCCTTTAATGGCAGCTTCCCAAAGTTTGGTGTTTCATAAAGCACTTTGAAGTTATTCAGTAAATAGAGTCATGTGCCCAGAAAGATGATTGATGGCATGCAAAGAAGAAACCATCTTTATAATATTTAAGTCTTCACCTCTTGAGCAGACCAATAACCACTGCAGTGCTGGAGATGAACCATGAGTGTATTCTGTTTTTAGGCGATTGCTGTTTTGTTTCTGCAACATTTCGCCTCTTCAAACTCCCTAAGACAGGACCAACCAAAAAATGCCAAGTTATTTACAATGGAGGAATTACAGGACACGAGAAAGAACTGATATTTGATGCAAATTTCACATTTAAGGTAAGTAAAGAATTCCATGATTTCCAGCATTCTTCCTCTTCTTACCTTCGCTCCACAAACCTTTTCTTGATCTTGCATTGCTTCTCACTTTTCTGGTCTTGGTATTGTGTATGTGTCTGTGTATCTATATACACACAAGCAAACACACACACATACTTGTGGGCTTCACTGGTGACTCAGTGGTAAGAATCTGCCTGCATTGTAGGAGGCCCAGGTTCGAGCCCTGGGTCAAGAAGATCCCCTGGAGAAGAAAATGCCAACTGACTGCAGTACTCTTGCCTGGGAAATCCCATGGACAGAGGAGCCTGGCGGGCTACAGCCCATGGGGTCAAAAAAGAGTCAGACACGACTTAGTGACTAAACAACAACAAATATATACGTACATATATATGTATATAAATATATAAATATATTTGCTAGACCATTAAAATGTAAGTTGCAGATATCATGACATTTTACCTTTAAATATTTCAGCATACATCTTCTAAGAATAGAATGTTCTCCTACATAACCAAATATCATTATTACCCTTTAAAAACTTTTCTATGAGAAACATCATTCATACATCTGATTAATGGTATTATAAAGATGGAAAACTGTGAGAGTACTGAGCAACTATATTTCAGTTGTTTAATTGTATTTCAGGATTAAGGAAGTGTTAGTATTTAATGATTGGAGAAGGAAATGTCAACTCACTCCAGTATTCTTGCCTGGAGAATCCCAGGGACAGAGGAGCCTGGTGGGCTGCTGTCTATGGGGTCGCACAGAGTGGGACATGACTGAAGCGACTTAGCAGCAGCAGCAGTATTTAATGATAACAGGATATTTCTACTACTCTTTTTAGAGTAGGGCTTTGTTTTCTCAAAACAGGTAAGTGCAGGCTTTGGAACTAGATAGCTGGTTTCAAATTCTAGCTCTGTTATTTACTTATTACTTGAGTAAACTTGAATATGCCACCAAAATTGTTTGAGACACAGTTTGCTCCACTGTAAAAGTAGGGATAATAATAATACTATGTGGCAGAATTTCTATAAAGATTAGCAATAATGTAGTAAAACATTGGTACTGGGAACTCAGTAAATAGAAGATACAGTCATTATTTGTTCCAAAGGTGGAAGAACTTAACTGTTTCCCTACTCTGATGTTTCGGTCTAGATAGCATTTTCAGATTTCTTAAATACTCCTGGTGCCACAGAGCCATTAATGCTTTTTCACTGATAAATGCCACTTGCCTGCTGAGTAGATTCACAGAATCAGTAAAATCATCACTCTGGTCTAGTGGCTTTCAAAAAACACATTTCTAATGGCAGAATTATTTTTTATTGAGACATAGTTGGCACATAACATTATATTAACTTTAGGTATAAAACATAGTGATTTAATATTTGTATATATTGCAAAATGATCATCCAGTAAGTCTATAGTTAAAGTCCATTACCATACCTAGTTACAAATTTTTTTTTTCTTATGATGAGAAATTTCGTTATCTTTCTCAGCTACTCTCAGATATATAAAACAGTATCATTAACTACAGTCACTATGCTATACATTACAGCCTCATGAGTTATTTATTTTATAACTGAGAGTTTGTATCTTTTGACCCCCATCAGCCAATCTGCCCACCCTCTACCTGCCCCCAGAATTATTATTATTATTATTTTATTTTTTTTTTTCAGAAAAAGCAGGCAGATTCTTTACCAACTGAGCTATCAGGGAAGCCCAAAATTTTATTTAAAAGACCAACACTTACTATGGGTAGGTCCTTGCCTTATGTAACCCCAGTATCTGAAGGTATACAAGCAGAATTTATCGGACAGGAGCAGAGATTGGAGACAGCTCAGAATCTCCTGTGTTAAGTCCTGGTTCCCAAGGTGTGGACCCTTTATGCACCTCCCAGGCACACTGGGACTCAAGGAAACACACTATAAGAGCCATTAGTCCAAAGACCTCATTTTAGCAACAAATAAGGTGAAACTCAGAGAGCAGTGGTTTTCTATATTTGCTTCTGAGCAGAAACGAGACGCTGGAGCGATGAGTGTCCTATTTTTTTTGGTGTTGCCACCAAAGGAAAACTGATAATGATACTGGTCAATTGCATGGAGAAACAAGCAGGAAGCTACTAGCAGCAGGGTCTGAATGTGAGAAAAGACTATGTCAAAAGGTATAGTCTTTTATCTTGATAGTAGTAGATAGAAAAACCCTTCAGGGTATTTTTCTTCTATTGAGATAAAAGTGGCATCTCTAAGAATGTCTTTCATGCTTCCCTTCAGAAAGATGAAGCTGTTGAAGTAGATGAAGAAACAGCGTCTATCTTGAAGAATTCACGATTTGCCCAAGATTTTCTAATCAGACCAGATGGAGAGAAGTTGCCAACATGTGGAGGCTATACTGCTTTAGAAGTAAAGGTTGGCTTGGCTTTTAATTCCCTAAAGTCAAACAGAGAACTATTTAAAAAATTGTTATGATCACCACAAACTGCTAAAGAAACAAATCATTACTCTTTTAGTTGGCCACCATAACTTATTTCTAGTATTTTTGTACCTATAAAATGATTTAACTTCATAACTTCATTTTTCCAGTGCTGACTTGGTACATCCATCAATGGACTTTAAAGCATCCATGAACCCGTTAAAATTGTATCTGTATTTTGTTGGGAAAGAGTCTGTTACTTTCATCAGGTTTCCAAAGAGGTACAGATACAAAAAAGATCAAGAGCTACCTTGGGAAAAATTATGCAAAGTATACATATATACATACACCTTTTAACTTGGGCTTCTGTGGTGTCTCAGCAGTAAAGAATACACTGCCAATGCAGGAGATACAAGAGACGTGGGTTCGATCCCTTGGTCAGGAAGATCCCCTGGAGAAGGAAATGGCAACCCACTCCAGTATTCTTGCCTGGGGAATCCCACCGACAGAGGAGCCTGGAGGGCTACAGTCGATGGGGTCGCAAGGAATTGGACACAACTTAGTGACAAGACAGCAACAACAGACCTTTTAATGTGAGTAGTCAGAAAGATGGTACCAGCCTACATACCTACCTGCAATGTATGAGAATACCTTTTCCCTGTATTCGTACTAATACGGGTATTACTCTTTAAAAAAGATGATGGTTGGATGGCATCATCGACTCAATGGATATGAGTTTGAGCAAACTCCAGGAGATAGTGAAGGACAGGGAAGCCTGGCATGCTGCAGTTCATGGGATCACAAGGAGTCAGACATGAATGAGTGACTGGACAACAACTTTTAAAAAATCTTTATCTGATAAGCAGAATATAATTTGTTTTTTTACATACACTGAGCTTTTTGGTTATGTTTACTGACCATTTACATTTCATCCATTGTGAACCTCCTATGTGATCCCTTAACTTTTTTCTATTAGAGTGATTTTTTAAATTGTTCTGTAAGACTTTGTTTATTATTATGTTGCAATTTTTTTCTCATTTAACTTTTCATTTCCTTTTTTTTTTAATTGTGCCACATGGCATGTTGGACCTTCGTTCCCTGGGCAGGGATTGAACCAATGCCCCTTGCAGTGGAAGCGTAGAGTCTTAACAACTGGACCACAGGAGAATTCCCCTTTTTATTTGCTTTTTCTCCTGAATAGATGTTTTCAGTTTTTATGCAGTCATTTCCTTTATGGTTTCTGGCTCTGGTGTTACCGTTAGAAAGATCTGCTCTGTGTGAACATTATAAATTTACTTGTTTTCTTTTAGTGTTTTTTAAAACTTAAGGTAAAATTTGTGTAACATAAAATTCACTATTTTAACCATTTTTTAGAACCATTTTAATCTATATAATTTAGCAGCTTTTAGTCTGTTTATAATGTTGTGCAACCGTTACTACTGTCTAGTGCCAGAAAGCTTTCATCATCCCCAAAATAAATCCTATTCCCATTAAGTACTAATCCCCAATCCTCCTCTCCCCTATTCCTGGCAGTAACTAATCTGTTTTCTTGTCTCTGGATTTGCTGTTTCTGGACGTTTCGTATAAGTGGAATCATACAATACTTTGTGACCTTTGTCTGGCTTCTTTTACTTAATATAATGTTTTCAGGGTTTATTCATATAGCAGTATTTCATTCCTTTTCATAGCTGAGTAATAGTCACTTATATGGCTATACCACATTTTTTTCTTTTTAATACATTCATCAGTTGATAGACGTTTAGGTTTCCACTTTTTAGCTGTTGTGAGTAATGTTGCTGTGACTGTGCATGTATATGTGCCTCACGTACTTGTTTGAGTGGTTGTTTTGAATCCTTTTGGGTCTGTATCTAGGAGTGGAATTGTTGGGCGATATGATAATTCTCCGCTTAACTCTTTGAAGTCACCAAATTGTGTCCTACAGTGGCCACACCATTTTACAATCCTGCCAGCAATGAGCAAGCGTTCCGGTTTCTCTGCATCCTTGCCAACAGTTGTTACTTTCTCTTTTGATTGTAGCCATCTTCGTTAGAGTGAAGTGTTTGAGCCAGTATTCCAGCATATTCTGAAATGAATATTTCCTAAAATATCTTAGATTCTTATTTTAAAATTATTCTATTGGTGTAGCATTTTTAAAAGCATTTTATCACAACTTATCTCCAGTCATCTCTCACAGCCTCCCTATGAAGAAGGTGGATAGGGAGCGATAACAGATAGTAGCATCTTTCTCTTATTTATTTTTACCTTTCCCCCATTCATGCTCTCATAATTATTAATCCATTTGTTAATTTATAATATTCTATTATTTAGAATAGGCTTAGTGATGGATCTCAAGTCTTTTTTGTCTGACAGAACTTCTAACCTTCACTAAAGTCCTGCCCAGCAAAATAAACCACTTCTCTTTCTGGGGCAGGATGGTGGGGTGTATGTACACAGACAGACTAAGTACCTATCTCGGCTCTGCCGCTTATGTGTAATCTTGGATTCCTTACCTAAACTCCTTAAACCCTCGGTTTCCTCATGTTTAATGGCAAGATAATAATCCCTTTTCCCCTCAGATTGTGAAAGTCAAATGGAATGATACATGTAAATGTTAGGCAATGCCTGGCAAGTAATAACATACTCAAGAAACAGAGGTGATTATGGATTTGTTTTGCTAAGATTCTTGGTCCAACTAAAGACTAAGATCCAACCAGTCCATCCTAAAGGAGATCAGTCCTGGGTGTTCATTGGAAGGACTGATATTAAAGCTGAAACTCCAATACTTTGGCCATCTGATGTGAAGAGCTGACTCATTTGAAAAGATGATGCTGGGAAAGATTGAGGGCAGGAGAAGGGGACGACAGAGGATGAGATGGTTGGATGGCATCACTGACTCAATGGACATGGGTTTGGGTGGACTCCGGAAGTTGGTGATGGACAGGGAGGCCTGGCGTGCTGTGGTTCATGGGGTCACAAAGAGTCAGACACAACTGAGCGACTGAACTGAACTGAAGATTCTTGGTATCTTGGAACTGTGTTCTGTGTGTTTGAATTCTGACCCTCTTTGCAGGATTCTTTCATCATTCTCTCATGTACCCTTTCTCCTGGCTCAGAATTTCTATAATCTTCAAGAATTTTACTTTTCTGCTGTTTATATTTTGTAGAAATATTAGAGGCATGGGGCAAACATTGATACACAAGTAACTCTTGTGCCTTTTCCTCCACCTTCTGTTACGTCACAGTCTTTTTTTTTTTCCTTCGCACAGTGCTTGTGGGATCTTAGTTCCCTAACCAGAAATTGAACCCCGGGCTCCAGCAGTGAGCACTGAGTCCTGACCCCTGGACTGCCAGGGAATTCCCAAGCAGTCTTTGTTTATTTGGCCATGCTGGGTCTTTGTTGCTCTGCACGGGCTTTCTCTAGTTGCGGCAAGGGGGGCTACTCCCTGGCTTGGTGCATGGTCTTCTCTTGTTGTGGAGCACAGGCTGTAAGGTACATGGGCGTCAGTAGTTGCAGCTCCCAGGCTCTAGAGTGTGGGCTGAGTAGTTGTGGTGCATGGGCATACTTGCTCCGAGGCATGTGGGATCTTCCTGGATCAGGGATCAAACCCATGGCCCTGCAGTGGCAGGTGGACTCTTATCCACCAGGGAAGTCCCCAAGAAGTCTTTTAAGAGTGAAGCTTATTAGGGAATTCCCTGGTGGCATAGTCTGAGCTAAGTGTAGAAGCCATCTCTAGAGGTAAAAAGTGATTTATTTATTTTTTGCTTTATTTGATTCTTGAGTGCTCTGCTTTTGAGGGAAAAATAACTTTTGAGGGAAAAGAGAAATTTGAAAATTCTGACTTTTCAGTCCATTGCATTTCATGAATGTGTTACTGGTCTTTTGAAATTCTTGGTTGTTCACTGATAACAAAATCTTGCTGGTCAAAATCAGCGTTTATCTGGAGATACTTTCATCATTCTATTCTCCTCTACCTGGTTTCCTGAATCCTGGTTCTGAAGGCTGTCAGAGGATTCAGTTCAGTTCAGTTCAGTCGCTCAGTCGTGTCCCACTCTATGATGGGACCAGATGCCATGATCTTAGTTTTCTGAATGTTGAGCTTTAAGCCAACTTTTTCACTCTCCTCTTTCACTTTCATCAAGAGACTTTTTAGTTCTTCACTTTCTGCCATAAGGGTTAGTTACAAGTAAACAGAATCTTTCCCCCAGCCCACTCTGGCTGGGAAACTGTAGTTAGATGTGTTTGCTTTTGCAGGAGATAATCTTCTGCCAGCAGAGTTCTGCAGTACCTCATGTGCAGGAGGATGCCTGACCTCTGGCAGGAACGCAACTTTCTACGTGTTTGAACTGGTTTATCGGAACCATCTCCCATCTCTCTCGCCTTACTTCTTTCAGCCTAAGGTTATGCCATCAGTTCCATGTTTCTGAAATAGGACTAATTGACACTGAAGGAAGATTTGAAGAATGAAACAGCTGTGTGTCCTAGAAATACAACCTTGGGCTCTCGGAGGAGGACATTCTTATCTTTTTTATGGAAGACCTTTGTGATAGATTCCTGAGAACCACGAGCAGGAGGCATGTAGGGAATTGCTCGTATTTCTGTCATCCTATCAGTTGGTGCAGTAGAGGAATGAAAGTGCTGCTTCTTACTGGGATTTGACTCCGTAATGACTGTTTTTGAGAGTCCTCATTTTTCTTTTTACTTCTCCTTTTTTAATCCTGACAAGCAAAGTGTATTTTGCTATTTAAAAGAATTATTAAAACGCTGCAGCATCTACAGTGATGCAGATAGGGTGTGTGCTATGTCCTGTCTTGCTCTAGTTAATAGTCGTGGGAGTAATCACACGACAACAGTTGTTGTTGTTCAGTCACTGAGTTGTGTCCGACTCTTTGCCACCCCATGGACTGCAACTCGCCAGGCTTCCGTGTCTCTCACTATCTCCCGGAGTTTGTTCCAACTCTTGTCCACTGAGGCAGTGATGCCATCCAGTCATCTCACCTTCTCTTTGCCCCCTTCTCCTCCTGTCCTCAGTCTTTCCCAGCATCAGGGTCTTTCCCCATGAATTGGCTCTTCAAATCAGGTGGCCAAAGAACTGGAGCTTCAGCTTCCGCATCCATCCTTCCAATGAATATTCAGGGTTGACTTCCTTTAGGATTGACTTGTTTGATCTCCTTGCTGTCCTGGGAACTCTCAAGAGTCTTCTCCAGCACCACAGTTTGAAAGCATCAATACTTCAGCGCTCAGCTTTCTTTATGGTCCAACTCTCACATCCATACATGGCTACTGGAAAAACTATAACTTGGACTGTACAGACCATTGTCGGCAAAGTGCTGTCTCTGCTTTTTAACACACTGTCTAGGTTTGTCATAGCTTTTCTCTTAAGGAGTAAGCGTCTTCTAATTTCATGGCTGCAATCACCGTCTACAGTGATTTTGGTTGTAGTCTAGAGGACCTAATCTTTATCGAACAGTTAGTATGTTGAAGGCACCTCATTATTTTGTCCTCATAATACTCCTTTTCTTCATTTTACAAATGAAGAACAGGCTCAGAGAGATTAATTTGCTGATTCAGAGTCACACAGCTAGAAAGGAGTAAATCTGAACCCACATCTATTTCTGGAGCTGACATTCTTAACCAGTATGCTGCACTAGCTCTCCATATCTATACTGTTCATAGAAGCACAGTTAGTATTGGAAAGGGCTGCTTGTCAGGGTGTCCCACCTTCTATTTCCTTCAAGTTTTGAGAGATTTTCGGGCTGGTTGCAGACATTTGGAAGTGGTACTGATATTACTTGTACATCTTTCTGTTTGCAGTTACAAATAACTTGTTTGTAACTTGTAGGTTGCAGTCCACCAACAAATAATAAGAGTGTAAGATCATGTTTAGTGAGTTCATTTTCATTAATAAGGTGGCTTGTGCATATTCTTGATGTGCAGTCTTTGTGCCTGGTTCTTCTCTGACTCTGTTGGCACTGCTGGTAGAGGTATCTCATTAGAAGGTGAAAGGAGGGAAAATAAAGACTGCTGTCTTATCTTTTGAACGTTCCACTTACTCTGCCCTGAAATCTTACTGGTTATGGTTGGCAATCTCAACATCTGAATATCAGTGATTGCTAATGAGGGCTCTGGTATCTGGGACTTCCCTTCTTCTCTTGCACACATGTTTCTAGAGATTAGAGTAAGGGAAGGGAAGAAGATCCAGCATGTCAGTAGCTCAGTTCCAAAAAGGTAAAAGGCACAAACAAACGGGAATCCCATGGAATAAAGCAAAATCAACTCTCTGGCCCAAAAAGGACCTTTCAGAAGCTTTAAATTAAGTTTACCTTGAAAATAGTGATAACTTGATTAGAAACTTCAGGAAAAGATAGCCACCTTGATAAGTGAGTCACTGATGCTGCTCCCGGACCCCACAGAACTGTACAGTTTTGTCCTCCTTGTAGGAAATAAGCGTTAAGTCCAGCTGAAATGTTAGTGTCTGTCAAAACGTCTTTAACTTATCCTTTCGTCTTGGTTTGTCTTTTGACAGGATATGATCACAGATCCATTTGAGCTTGCAGGGAGGTCTGACAGTGCAGAGTCCCGAAGTTCCCCTGCTGTTGGTGGCTGCTGCAGTACAAAGAAATGCTCCTAAAACAACAGCTGAGCAGAAGACAGTGGGCAGGAGGTGAAAGAATGAGTTACACATGTCTTAACCCCCCCTTTCCCATAGCCCATACCACAAGAAAGAACAGGTGACAGAAGTCCACTGATTTCTAGGTAAAAATAAATGAGTTATCTTTACAAAGTATTAAAGGTTTATATCAAAATCACATAAAGACCCGTTAAGCCCGGTTCCTCTTACCTGATTCTGGTGCCACCTGGTGGCCAGAAATGGAACTGAGCAGCAGTCTGAAAGCTTGGCCCATAGGCAAGGAAGGCTTTAGAAAAGAGAGTTGGCCGAGTCTCAGGGAAAACATCTTCCTTCTGACCTGCTTAGAACCTTTTGGACTTTTCACCATGTGTACTCATTAAACAAAGCTCCTACTGAAATCATTTGAATCATGCCAAAAGATTGCCAAATCAAATTTGGTAGGAGTGCTTTTGAGATAATGGTCTTTTATATCAGTTTTTTTCCTCCAGTGTGCAACTGAATAAAGAAAAAACCCAAGTGTTAATTTTTTTGACTTCAGTTTACCCTAACGTAAGACAACATGGTGGCCGTATGCGGTAAATCTTAACCAGAACAGGAAAACAGTTTGATACTTTTTAAAAGACAAACTAGATGTAAAGATGGTGGGTTTTCTTTTCCTTTATAAAATGCCCTAGTTAAACCTGTAGGAAAGTATTAGGTTTAGTCCTAGTTTCCATAGTTAAAGAAGAAGATTGAGGGATTCTTCTCTCCTCGATCTTCAAGGATGGTTGAAGATTTCAAGGATGGTTGCATCATTAGAAATTAAAAACCTTAAGGGAAGTTTCAAGAATGTTTAGATCAATTGAAGACCAGTTGTACTTGAAGACTTTGTTAGGGGCAGAATGTGTAAGTCACATATAAGCCAAGGCCCTGGTCATCAGGAGCTGATGGTTCAGTTTTTAAATAACCTTCAAGCAATGAAGAATTTTAACAAGCAAATATCAACTAGTTGCTCTGAGTTCAGTGCAGAAAGAATAAGGGGGAACACGCATGACTGAAGAGTTTTCTTAGAGGTAGGAAAATTTTTAGGTCTTCTAAAACATTGGAATGAATTTATAGGACATGAACCCTCTTTTAATAGAGCTGTACAAAATGGAAAAACTCTCAGATTTCTGAATGGGTTCAGGTATAGACACTACTACAAACTGAGGAAAGGACTGGTGGTATATTTCAAGGCCAATGCATCTGTGTGACCTTGATTCTAAACAGTGCTTTCTTGGTTGTAGAGTTCAATATCTATTCAATCATAACCTACTTCAGTGACAGTATTACTTAGAATGGTACAGCTGGGATTAAGCCTACTTTGCTATTCATAAGTGATCGGTGGTCCTGCAACAGTAAATGATGAAAAGATATGGTGTTCTGATTATTTGGTTTATTCAGTTTAGTTCAGTCACTCAGTCGTGTCTGACTCTTTGCGACCCCATGAACCGCAGCATGCCAGGCCTCCCTGGCCATCACCAACTCCCAGAGTTTGCCCAAACCCATTTCCATTGAGTTGGTGATGCCATTCAGCCATCTCATCCTCTGTCGTCCCCTTCTCCTCCTGCCCTCAATCTTTCCCAGCATCAGGGTCTTTTCAAGTGAGTCAGCTCTCCACATCAGGTGGCCACGACTGAGTGACTGAACAACAAAATATGATCCCACTATTTCACTCTTAGGTATCTATTCAAGAGAAATGAAAACATATGTCCACACAGATAATTATGCAAATGTACATAGGAGTATTATTCATAATAGCCCCAAACTTAGAAGCAATACAATTGCAATCAACTAGCAAATAAATGTAGTTTATCCACACAATAGAATAAAATTTATGTTTAAAAGGAACAAGTTGCTGACACATGAACAACACGGCTGAACAAAATACTGTGCTAAATGAAAGAAACCAGACGTAGGACTACATAATATGCAGTATTCAGTACCCAATTTCACTGCATGGGTTTCCCCCATGTACACACCCAGCTATTCTTTGACACCAGTTGTTCAGTTCAGTTGCTCAGTCATGTCCGACTCTTTGTGACCCCATGAACCGCAGCACGCCAGGCCTCCCTGTCCAACACCAACTCCTGGAGCCTGCCCAAACTCATGTCTGTTGAGTTGGTGAAGCCATCCAACCATCTCATTCTCTGTCATCCCCTTCTCCTCCTGCCCTCAATCTTTCCCAACATCAGGATCTTTTCAAATGAGTCAGCTCTTCGCATCAGGTGGCCAAAGTATTGGAGTTTCAGCTTCAACATCAGTCCTTCCAATGAACACCCTGGACTGATCTCCTTTAGGATGGACTGGTTGGATCTCCTTGCAGTCCAAGGAACTCTCAAGAGTCTTCTCCAACACCACAGCTCAAAAGCATCAATTCGTCGGTGCTCAGCTTTCTTTATAGTACAACTCTCACATCCATACATGACTACTGGAAAAACTATAGCGTCGACTAGATGGACCTTTGTTGACAAAGTAATGTCTCTGCTTTTTACTATGCTATCTAGGTTGGTCATAACTTTCCTTACAAGAAGTAAGCATCTTTTAATTTCATGGCTGGAATCACCATCTGCAGTGATTTTGGAGCCCCCCAAAATAAAGTCAGTCACTGTTCCCACTATTTCCCCATCTATTTGCCATGAAGTGATGGGACCAGATGCCATGACCTTAGTTTTCTGAATGTTGAGCTGTTGGCCAACTTTTTCACTCTCCTCTTTCACTTTCATCAAGAGGCTCTTTAGTTCTTCACTTTCTGCCATAAGGGTGGTGTCATCTGCATATCTGATATTGATATTTCTCCTAGCAATCTTGATTCCAGCTTGGGCTTCATCCAGCCCAGCGTTTTTCTCATGATGTACTCTGCATATAAGTTACATAAGCAGGATGACAATATACAGCCTTGACGTACTCCTTTTCCTATTTGGAACCAGTCTGTTGTCCATGTCCAGCTCTAACTGTTCCTTCCTGACCTGCATACAGGTTTCTCAGGAGGCAGTTCAGGTGGTCTAGTATTCCCATCTCTTGAAGAATTTTCCACAGTTTATTGTGATCCACACAGTCAATTTGGTTTATTAGGCATTTCTAAATTTAGGACAGGCTTCCCCGGTGGCTCAGCAGTAAAGAATCTACCTGCCAATGCAGGAGGCATGGGTTTGATCCCTGGGTTGGGAAGATCCCCTGGGGAAGAAAATGGTAACCCACTCCAGTATTTTTGCCTGGGAAATCCCACGAACAGAGGAACCTGGTGGGCTACAGTCTGTGGGGTCGCAAAAGAGTTGGACATGACTCAGCAACTAAACAACATCAACACAAATTTAGGAGGACAAAGTATTAACCTTTTGGTTGTCATTCTGAACCTCTTAGTTCCTCCAAAAGAGATTGAGTAATGAGATTAGGCTAGAAATTCACATTGTTCTTTTCCAAAGAATAACATAATTTATGCATGTTAAGAATTATATTTGATCTAGAACCTAGAAGATATATATATTAGACAATGTAAAATTAGATGCGTTTTGCTCAGAAAAATGCCATAAACAGTTACGTAAATATTAAAAAATAGGTGAAATAGACAAATAGGAATATTTGACCCTTATGAGAGTGAGAGGTAGTATGGAATGACAAGTGAGGGCAAAAGTTGATGCCAGATGCTGTAGTTTTTTTCCCTCTCAACTCTGTCGTTTAGCATTTTGGCCTTGAGAAAATCATTTATCTCCATGCCTTTGTTTATTGATTTGTATGAAGTTCTTTGAGAGAGCACATGTTTAGATCCATATGGTTGCTGCGAGCATGTGATGTCAGGACAAGTGCTCCTTTTGCTGCCAGAACATGGTTTGTGAAGCTGCCGGCAGGTCTTTTGACTGTGGGCAGCTTTACTTCCAACATTTTATTGTAACCATTTTTAAACATACAGAATGGTTTAAAGAATTGTAGCAATGACCCATTTACCCACCCTTGTTAGCCATCTGCAATCATTCAATACGTTTTAACATATTTACTGACATTAGAGCCACAGAAACATTCTTCCCTCACTGCAGACCCTTTTCAAAAGATCCTGGACTTAAAAATTTAAGGAGCAGATTTTTCCTTAATTGGTTATTGTATCAAATACAGTATTTTCAGTCCTTCATTATCACAGAGGAGGATTTATTTACAAATTTTGGAAGTCTGCAGAGGCTTTTCCGTTTACCTACTGGAGGAGGCCCAGCCACAACCAGAACTGGCCCCCTACTCCCACCCCGCCTTGAGCCACACACAGTTTTAAAGGTCATGACTTTGTGCCAGGACAGCAGCAGAACCCTCTCCTCCTATTGATTCTTGGCCTTTCTTCGATGGCTCCCAAGAAGCAGCCAATGTAGTGACTAGTTCTGTCCTATTAGGTTGAGAGGCCTATTACATGAGTCCAGCAAGAAATGTGAACCTTTTTTTTTTTCCTTTTTGTAAGTAAAAGAATGTTGCTCGCTGTCAGGTTCCGCAAGGATCAAGTCTTCAGCTACTTCAGTCACTGATGAAAGTACACCCTGGAAAGAATTAAGGATGCAAAACAGGATGAAGCACTCTATATTTTAGCAAAACAGTTCCCTTAGACAGTTACGTAGATCTCAAGAAAAATTTTGAACCCAGATTCTTGCATCTTCACATACATATAAAAGCACTAAAATCATTAACAGAAATATCTGTTCCTCTGGATTAACAGTAACCTTTTACAAAGATGCATGCTTTACTGCACCAATTCCCTAGTCAAAGTCATCTTTATACTGATTTCTACCCCTGTCTCTTTGGAACAGTCCCCCAGAGCTATGGAGAGGATGATTCCCAAGCTAGAGTCTTTAGTAAGACCCTGAATAAAACTCAGTTCAACTCTGCATTTTTCTTTCAGTCTACACTTACATTTGGCCACTAATATTAATTAAGCACCTGCTGTTTACCAGGCACCATCCCAGACTCCGATTCCTCACACTGGAATATTATGCACCTTGGGGGCGAACAGGACAAAACCAACTAGGCATATTTTCTAAACTTTGTTGGCATCTGTCCTCACTTCTCTGATTTGCCAAGTTTCTTCAACTGTGCACACATTACCATTTGGATCTAAACCGGGGTCCTTTTGTAGACCCTGCCCTAAGAGTCAGCAGAGGGAGATCTCCCTAGAGTGGGAGCTCTTTTGTAAATAGGAAGCTGGAATTAGACAGTCCTAACAATGACCTGTGACTTGAGCTTTCCTGCCTCATTCCAGTTTCTGTTCAACTGCTGATCCTGCAGTTCCCGTAAGCACAGCTCCCACTGAGGTTAGTGGGAGTGTTATGTGAACGTAAGTTTTGTTCTTCATTTTCTCCTGCTGAGTGAGCCTTGCTTGTCTTGGACTGTCGACCATCCCAGTCCCCTTCCCCAACAGGCACGGGTGTGCTAGCCCGTCCTTTCATGACGCCGAGCCCTACCATGGTGACAGGCTCCAGGTGAGGGGAAAATCAACTGGAGACAGAAGCATTCTACTTCTTGCCTCACATAATAGCAGAGAATGCTTTCTATACACTGTCCAGAAGTGTATATATACACTTACCCCAGAGAGAGTAAGTAGAATGGCAAATGGATGATGTACTGGGTGCTCTGTTAAGCCAGACTTGGGTCTGCTCACTTTGCCTAAAGCCATTAACCTCATTCATGGAAGGAAAAGGGATGCAGGAGACAGAAAACAGGTGTTCTTTCTAATTCTGGTTCTGCTGCTGAATTTGTCACTTTCCCCTTGGAAAATCATTTGTCCACTTTGGGATTCACTTTGCTCAGCTGTAAAATGAGGTTTTGAACTCTGCATAAGTTCCCTTCCATCTCAGAAACAGACTTAATGAGTCTAGATTCTGGGGAAGTCACAGAGTTTTAAACACTTGAACTAGTTGCCCACATTTATAAATCAGAAGGTTTTCCATAAAATATGAATTTCTGGCTTCTCTTGAAAAATTGGCAACCTGACCCTGCATTTCTGCACAGTTGCCATGGCCCCAGTGAATACTGGCTTCTGTTACACAGGGCATGTCCCTTTAGGCATCGTCCCTACCCAGTCAACTTTGCTGACCCCTGTAGGCAAAGGGCCCCATTTTAGGACTGGAATTTAGCACAGTTTCATCATAATTAAAAGTGAGGGTATGTCCCCCATTATAATTCAAATGATGGCTGGCCTCTGGCTTAATCTATGACTCTGACATATATTTAATTCATTACAAGCAGAAGCTAAGAAGGGCACGTGGAGCTGGGCAGGGGTGCTCACAGGAGGGAACTGAAGAGTGCTGGAGCTGCTTATGGTAATTTGACATATAACTTGGAGCCTGATTGTGTCAGATGAGGTGACCTGGATGGTTTATTCTCTGTTTCGAGTTAACAGGCTTCCATCACATCAGTGTCTCTGTGAATATGAAATGAGCATCCCCAGGAAAGCAAAGCCTCAAAATGTCAAGTTGCTCAGGAGGAGAGGTTTTGCACAGTGCACACAGAAGGATTTGTGTGGCTTCTAGGCTTAATAATTAATCTTTTATTAACTCTTTCTTTTCTTTTTCTTATTAACCTTATTATCCCTTTCAGTTGGATCTAACTAGGGAAATGTTGTAAAGGAGGTGTTCTTATTTCTGCTTTTCAATAATGTAACAGGACCCCACTGAGGCAGCCCTTCACAAATGGTGATTTTTCCTGGGGAGGAGGAAAATTCACTGCTTTGTGTGCATATAAAGCATGCCAGATATCCCAAGTTGTTTCTCTTCTGAAAAGAACTCCCTTACACCTCCCTCATAATGCTGATTTTTCTAGTTTTACAGAGGAGAAAACTGAGGCTGCAGGTATTTAAATGACTTTCTCAGTGGGAGTGCAGTCTAAGAAATGTTAGAATCAAGGCTACACTCGGCTCCTCCGACTCTGGCACCACTGCTTCAGAAGGTCTGTCCTTGCTCTCGTTTAGGTGATCCCAAAATTTTAAAGTACAGAATTAAGACAGTAAATGATTAGTACAAAAGCAAGCATCACTATAGTAGTGCAGACTGTAAGCAGTCTGCCTGCGTAAATGCTAAAGAATCTGGCTGCAATGCAGGAGACCCAGGTTCAATCCCTGGGTTGGGAAGATTCCCCTGGAGAAGGAAATGGCAACCCACTCCGGTTTTCTTGCCTAGAGAATTCCATGGACAGACCGTGAGGTTGCAAAGAGTTGGAGACGACTGAGCGACTGATACACACACACAAGGATCACTATGTAGGGTAAAGAACGTGTGTGATCTAGAAGGGATAGATAGGAGTTTTCTCAATGAGGGGGTGGTTCCTGTTATCAATATAAAAGATTACAAAGTCAACATAATTTTTGCCTGGAACTGTCCCAGTTAGCCTCAAACTAGGTTAGTTATTAATAGTACCTTTATTTTTTACTCTAAAACAGGTTCTGTTTTAAACAATAAATTATGTGGTCAGCTACTATACATTTATGCACCTTTATGATGTTTATTATGAGGCTTTCCAGGTGGTGCTAGTGGTAAAGAACCCACCTGCCAGTGCAGGAGACGTAAGAGACATGGGTTCGATCCCTGGGTCAGGAAGATCCCCTCGAGTAGGGCATGGGAACCCACTCCAGTATTCTTGCCTGGAGAATTCCATGGATAGAGGAGCATGGCGGGTTCCATGGGGTCGCAGAGTCGGACATGGACTGAGCGACTGATACATGAACTTCCTTGACTGACTGTGAAGCTCCCCTCAGTTCCTCCGTTTTATTTGTATTTCTTTTTAAGACATTCTATATTCTACCCTGCATTATGTAGTTAATTAGTACATGTTTCCTGATGTCCTTACCAGTAAGTTTTTTGGGGTAACCTCTAGGTCCAGTGCCTAGTGCTTATTTAGAAATGCAATCTCTCTGAGTTGAATGAGGGAAAAAAATCAATGAAAGAGAAAAAAAAGAAACGGTGAGAAATAAGACATACACTTGAAGTTTAAAGAGGAAGCAGAGAATTGAGATGTGGTATTAATAAATGGGAAAAAGTAAGTTAAATCTTCAGTGTAGTGGTGTTTCAAATAAAACAGGTATCTCAGAGGAACTAAAAATAGGAGCAGAATTTTTTCCCACTGATGCCTGGCATAATTATTTGTCTATATGTGGAGATTTGACTAATTACTGGAGTAGAGTTTTTGCTGCAACTTCAAATGATTTGGAAAAAAGACCATACGAATGAACTCAGTTGATATGGGAAAACTAGCATTTTATGTCTAGAGGCATAATCAAAGATTAGAGCTTGGGTATCAGATCCAGGGCTCAGAACTGGACTCTCAGGATCTGTTCTTTTTCCTGTGGTCTCATTTCTAGTTACCTTCCTCTTGTCAGAGTCTGCCTTACCTCCCACATCTTCCTCACTCCCCAAGTGTGGTTTTTATGTTTAGATTTTTGAATGGGCAGTATTCACAGGGAGCAACATTTTAAAACCTAAAATTGCAACCTGGGTTGAATGTTTTGGTCACAATGATAAGAATAGTGGAGCACAGAACATCTCTTACAACTTTGTCCAAGACTAAGCTGGAGATTGGAAACGAGGTGATACAAAAGTCAGAAAGAACATGCTAGAAGATTCTAGAAAGTCCCACAGTTGTAGGGCCTGGCAGTCTGGAGGACAGGGGGCAGGGCAAATAGTGGATTTAGAGGAGAAGAAGGATACCACGGGAGGTTTAGGAGGCGCAAGCTCCCTGGGAGAAGGGTAGTAGGTGGGGTGCTGTCCAATGCACCATGGGGGCAGGGCCAGGAGGAGGGCAGTGAGGGAGGGAGGAGGCAGCAGAATTTTAAGTGGCAGGGGGCCACCCACCATTGGCAGGGATTCTCTCCTGAGGAGCTTGGGTCCTTCTCAGTGGAGGAAGTCTTGTTTTCCCTTCTCTTTTATCCCAGTGACTATCTCCAGAAAGTATCTAGAAAAGGAGGGAAATAGGAAAGCCTGAAACAAAAAGCCTGAAAAGCCCTATAGAGAAGGTAAACTACATTGCTGATTTTATTTTGTTTGTCCTCTGTTATGAAGAGTTCTCATTTGAGCTAAAAGAGTTCTGTATCTTTAAACAAGTGGACAGCGTTGCTTCAGGGGGAGCAGATTTGATTGGAGGGAAAGTTTGGACAACACCAGCATCACCCAGTTCCTAATTTTCCTCAAAAGACCCAGTGCTTCGGTGAGATTAAAATGTCATTTTGAATATTTTTCTACAACTAGGCATTTTTCTGGGGGAAAAAGTTCCTCTATAAAACTGGAGCTTTATGTTGAGAAATCAAATGCACAGAGAGCCATTTGGTGTTCTACTTGCTATCTTTAAAATCAAACTTGAAAAGACTTCTAGGTCTGGATACAGTGCCTTCCTATCTCTGAACCTGCAGACAGGGGAACATATTCCTGGCAGAATAGAGAACTGAACAGGCACCTTACCCCTGGAGGACCCAGTGATGGATTCTGGCATGAGACGGTTAGTTATGGAAGGTATCTGTTAGGAGGTTCTGCTTTACCTAAGGAGGTGTGGAAGGTCAGAGTCAGAGTCTTCCTAGGATTAGACATCCATAGCAACCAGTAAGCAGTCTTGACCCTTTTGTAGCTCTTTGTGGAGATGAAACATCTTCAGAATTCAGGGTTTTGTTTTATTTTTTCTGCCAGATTTTTAAAAAAAGATCCTGAGAAGTAAGTGCTGCCCCTGCCCTCAATTCATCCAGATGGACAGACTGGGAAGCTCCTGAAGGTCAAGTTTGTATTAGCAGGCCCCTCACTAAAGAGAGGGTAGGCCAGCTGAAAAGCCTCCAAACTTGAAGCAGGATCCCACTTGCTATGGAAAAATTACTTGGCTTGGGTGTCTAGATTGCTCTGTGTCTTGGGTGTACATGGAGAATGTATTTTTGTTTGTTTGCTTTTTGGCCATACAGCACCTCCTGTGGGATCCTAATTCCCTGACCAAGGATTGAATCTGGGCCCTCAGCAGTGAAAGCACAGCAGAATCCGAACCACTGGACTGCCAGGGAATTCCTTCATGGAGAATATGATCCCCCCCACCCCACCGCGTCCCCCACATTCACATCCAGGATGAACATTAAATTCACACAGGGAATTTTTGAACTTGTGTGTAAATTTGAGCTTGCTTTGTTTCATATTGTAAATTGTCTTGCGGGGTGCTTTCTGACATTTTGCTATGAACTTCTAACTTGCTTCTAAATTGCTGAATGCCACAGTTTCCTGACTATTCTAGTTTTCTCTGAAATGCACAGGAGATGTCTGTAGGTTTAGCGAGCCTCTCCTCAGCCTCTTCTCTGCACTCTTATTGCAAAAGTATGCTTTCAGCATTTAAGAACCTGTAATCATCTTCCCTCTTAGCTCCCTTAAGCAGACTTGTGCTCACACTTTTAATGATGGTAAAACAGTTGTGTTTTTAATCAGCTCATTTAGAAGACCATATCTATCCTTAACCTTTGTCATATATTCCCCCAAAGCTCAACATTTCTTCCAAACTTTGATAATGTTGTTTTTGTAAATGCATGCCAAGTCTGTGAATCAGGACTTTTAAAAAAAATCTAAACTTGTTTTTCAGATGTACCAGTATGAGAATTGTGGGTGTGGGAAGCAGTGTCAGAAACTGAAGGGTTGGAAGGACTTTCCTGGTGGTCCAGTGGTTAAAACTGTGCTACCACTGCAGGAGGCCTGGGTTCGATTCCTGGTCAGGGAACTAAGAGCCCACATGCCACACAGTTAACCCCCCCAAAACAACAAAAAACACCAAAATGAACCAAAAATACCTGATGAACAAGGAATCTTCATCAGTTCAGTATCACTTCAGTCGCTCAGTCGTGTCTGACTCTTTGCAACCCCACAAACCGCAGCACGCCAGGCTTCCCTGTTCATCACCAACTCCCGGAGTTCATCCAAACTCATGTCCATTGAGTCAGTGATGCCATGCAACCATCTCATCCTCTGTTGTCCCCTTCTCCTCCTAACCTCAATCTTTCCCAGAATCAGGGTCTTTTCAAATGAGTCAGCTCTTCGCATCAGGTGGCCAAAGTACTGGTGTTTCAGCATCAGTCCTTCCAATGAACACTCAGGACTGATCTCCTTTAGGATGGACTGGTTGGATCTCCTTGCAGTCCAAGGGACTCTCAAGAGTCTTCAATACCACAGTTCAAAAGCATCAATTCTTCTGTGCTCAGCTTTCTTTATACTCCAACTCTCACATCCATACATGACCACTGGAAAAACCATAGCCTTGACGAGATGGACCTTTGTTGGCAAAGTAATGTCTCTGCTTTTTACTATGTTGTCTAGGTTGGTCACAACTTTCCTTCCAAGGAGTAAGTGTCTTTTAATCTCATGGCTGCAATCACCTTCATAGCAGCTCTGAATGCAGACCTTCAGTCCTCTTCCATATAAGAGAGAAGTCAACTTTATTAAAAAAAAAGAGAGAGAGACTGAAGGACCGGAAACTAGAGTTGGGGACATTATTTGGAGCACTCAGAATAAAAATCCTTTCATTTTTAAAAATACAAGTACTGTTTTGAACATCTACTATTCTTCTGGGCCCTGATGATACAGCAGTGAATAAAACACAAAATTGTTGCCCTTAGGAAGCTTAAGTTCTAGTAGGAGACAGATACACACCAAATTAAGGAAAATACAGTAAGGATGGAGAATAGGGAGTGTTTGGTCACTGGTTTATAAAGTTGGACTTGAAACAGTCTTGAAGGAGGAGGTCTAGGGTTCTGTGCTGACACCTGGGGGGAAGAGAGTCCCAGGCACAGGCAACAGCAGCAGATGTACAGGCTCCCCGAGGGAGCATCCCTAGAGAGAATGAATAACCAGGAGAATCTGGCTGGAGCACCGGATGATAGGGTTATAGAAGAAAGCAGGGCAGGGGTGGGGGTGGGGGGCGACAGTAGGTCTTTTAGACCGTTGTCAATACTATAGCTGCTCTGGCTGGTGGGTTGAGAAGGGAAGGGGACAGGTGTAGAAGAGGATAGAACAGTGAGGAGGCCCTTGCAGTTATATCTATTAGAAATTAATAAAAATTTTACAGAAAGGAAAATATGCTTGTAGCATAGAAAAAACGGAAATAATTATTTTTTGGATGTTTAAGTTGCAAGAAAAAAAACCAATTTGGCAACTCTGTTTCCTCCAGATACAGAGTGGGCTTGGGAGTCCTTGGTCTTCAGAATTTTTTTCTCCTGAGCCACCAATGAACCTAGCAGGGTTTGATCAGTGTGTTTAAGAATGAGCCTTTATGGGTCTGCTTAGGATGTCCGCCCCCTCCCATTTCCCAGATTTTCCCGAGTGCCTACTAGGAATAGATTCCTGAGTCCTACCCATCCAGTAAGTATGGAATGGGGCCAGGGAATATTTATTTTTTTCAGTAAGAAAATGAAGGGATTCTTATAACTTGGAAGATAGGGAACTGCCCCACCTCCAGAGCACCTTTTTGGGTTTGCAGCGTACCTGGAAAGCATTGCAGGGAGCCAATGCTACCGGCAGGTGGCGCTCCCTGACCGTGAGCTGCAGAGGCCGTCTGTCCCTTAGGGATAAGCGAGCGGCTCCAGCGGAGCGCGTAGATGTGGTGTTGGGGCCCATCGGTCACCGCTCATCCCGAGCGGAGAGGCGCGCAGGAGTAAAGAAAAGGGGCGCAGCCGGTGACTCGGCTTCATTTTAGGCTAACGTGCGTCAGGAAAGCGCAGCCCTCTCTGCACGGTCACTGAGCACGCGGGAGCCGGCAGCGTGGCGCGGCGAGAACCGGCCGATTCGGGCCACAGGACATTAGTCCAGTGTACCAACCTAGGGACAGGGGTACTACCGAGTCCCCTCCGGGCCGTCAGACTCGCAGAAGGCCCCTGTGCATTGGCAGCCAGGACGGGGGGCTCCGCCCCTTTTCGTTCGGCTCTCATCTGTGACTGGCTCTTGAGCCGGGACTGGCCACACCTCCTCCCCTCGCACATACACAAGAGTCACGCGCCTTTCAGTTGGAAACTTGGAGTGCAGAGGAGGACGCTGTCCCTCATCTCCCCACCCACTTATCTTGCCATTGGCTCGCGGCGCCGCTCACGGCCACGCCCCCCATTCCAGCCCCCTGGCTGGGAGGGCGGGCACCTGCTGGTGATTGGCTGGTCGGCCTGACTCTTGCTGCAGCCGCTGGCACTCCCCCTACCCCCTCCCCCCTCCCGCTAGCCTCGAGGTCTCGGTGCTGGCCCAGGCCGAGTCAGTGTCAGTCAGGGAGGCGGGTTGCTGAGCAGTGGGTTTGAACACTGCGTTGCAATCTCGCCCCGGGGGCCGGTGCCTGCGCTCGCGCCGCCGGCTGAGAAGGATGAAGCTGCAGCTGGAGCAGCCACCCTATGATTGGCTGTGGCTCTTGTGAACCCGAAGTAAAGATGGCGGGCGGGCAGGCAGCCGCCGCACTGCCCTCTTGGAAGATGGCGGCGCGCCGCAGCTTCAGCGCCCGCGGCCGGGGGGTCCTGCAGGCGGCGGCGGGCAGGCTGCTGCCATTGCTACTGCTGAGCTGCTGCTGCGGCGCGGGCGGCTGCACGGCGGTGGGCGAGAACGAAGAGACGGTGATCATCGGGCTGCGGCTGGAGGACACGAACGACGTGTCGTTCATGGAAGGGGGGGCGCTGCGGGTGAGCGAGCGGACCCGGGTCAAGCTGCGGGTGTACGGGCAGAACATCAACAACGAGACATGGTCCCGCATTGCTTTCACAGAGCACGAGCGGCGGCGCCACAGCCCCGGCGAGCGCGGGCTAGGGGGACCCGCGCCGCCGGAGCCGGACAGCGGCCCCCAGCGCTGCGGCATCCGCACATCAGATATCATCATCTTGCCCCATATCATTCTCAACCGCCGTACATCGGGCATCATTGAGATAGAGATCAAACCGCTGCGCAAGATGGAGAAGAGCAAGTCCTATTACCTGTGCACGTCGCTCTCCACGCCAGCACTAGGCGCCGGCGGCTCGGGGTCCGCGGGTGGCGCCGTCGGGGGCAAGGGCGGCTCCGGGGTGGCCGGGCTCCCGCCGCCCCCGTGGGCCGAGACCACCTGGATTTATCACGATGGCGAGGACACCAAGATGATCGTGGGGGAGGAAAAGAAGTTCCTGCTGCCCTTCTGGCTGCAGGTGATCTTCATTTCGCTGCTTCTGTGCCTGTCGGGCATGTTCAGCGGCCTCAACCTTGGACTCATGGCCCTAGACCCGATGGAGCTGCGCATCGTGCAGAACTGCGGCACCGAGAAAGAGAAGAATTACGCCAAGCGCATCGAGCCCGTGCGCAGGCAGGGCAACTACCTGCTGTGCTCGCTGCTGCTGGGCAACGTGCTGGTCAACACCACGCTCACCATCCTGCTCGACGACATCGCTGGCTCAGGCCTCGTGGCGGTGGTGGTCTCCACCATCGGCATCGTCATCTTCGGGGAGATCGTGCCCCAGGCCATCTGCTCCAGGCACGGCCTGGCGGTGGGAGCCAACACCATCTTCCTCACCAAGTTTTTCATGATGATGACCTTTCCCGCTTCTTACCCGGTCAGCAAGCTGTTGGACTGCGTTCTGGGCCAGGAGATAGGCACCGTCTATAACCGGGAAAAGCTGCTGGAGATGCTCCGGGTCACAGACCCCTACAACGATCTCGTAAAGGAGGAGCTGAATATCATCCAAGGGGCGTTGGAGCTCCGCACCAAGACGGTGGAGGACGTGATGACTCCCCTGCGGGACTGTTTCATGATCACCGGGGAAGCCATTCTGGACTTCAACACCATGTCGGAGATCATGGAGAGCGGCTACACTCGGATTCCAGTATTTGAGGGGGAACGCTCCAACATCGTGGACCTCCTCTTCGTCAAAGACTTGGCCTTCGTGGATCCAGATGACTGTACTCCCCTGAAAACCATCACGAAATTTTATAACCACCCCTTGCACTTTGTTTTCAATGACACCAAGTTGGACGCTATGCTGGAAGAATTTAAGAAAGGTGGGAAAATTTTGGTATCCTTTCATTGGCTTGCTCTTTCTCACTCCATCCTCCTCCCTACTTGAGTCCTCTACCCTCAGACCAACCCCCCAAGGCGAGTTGACCGGAATTTCTCCTCTCTTTTAATTGTAAAGTTGAAAGGGTGGCATGGATTTTGGGGTGGATTGAACTAGTAAGCGCTTCTAGGTTCTTTGAAACAAGACTGCCCTGGCTTGCTTCCCCCTCTACCAAAGCAGGCTTCCTATTTTCTGCGCATGGTACTCTTACCCCCTGCACTCTGGCCTTGAGAGATCTGCTGCATTCATTGCGGGATTCTGAGTGGGTAGATGAAAAAAGGGACCCGCTGATGCCATGCTGTGCTATTTGGTTGCCGTGTACTAATCTCAGGCATTTGGAGAACGTTTAAATGGCTTTTCTAAACCCAGAGCAATCAGTTGATATTTCCGAGATTGGAAGTGCATTTTCAGTTGTTTTAGTTCCTGGTTGTCTGGTGACCTGTGGGAGAGATTAGGGCTGCTTTTGAGAATAGGGTATGGGGTAAGCCAGGTATCACTAAAGAAAATCACTCATTTGGTTGACTTGCCTTAGCTGGAAAAGAGGTGTTTTGTTGTTGTTTTTGTTGTTTTTATTTAAAACTAACACTATTTGTTAATATATAACTTGGAAAAACTAGAGCTAAGTTAACCTTTTATGAGGCTCTATATTGCTTAGCTTTCTTCACTGTTTGTTTACATTTACCCGACAACAAATAAAATTTCCCAAACCAAGTGTGGTTTTGGCAGAAAGCTTGGATCTTTAACAATGGGATTAATTCCTCTATATGGTTTATCTATTTCTTGAGACTTTCTGGTTTAAAAGTGTTCTTTTTAACCTTGATCACCTGGTATGTTAAATGGA